CAGTATTATTGTCAAATGTAGGCGAAGGCACTGACTTTCACTGGAATACGCAGCAGAGGCTCTTTCTGCCAGTCTTTGTTCTGTTACTTGCCTTACAAGTAAAGGCCTCAAACTCCTTAAAGACGTCTCTTCCGTGACATTGCAGAGTGTAACCAGTGTCACCGGTGTAACCCGTCAAATTGCATAGCTACCACAATATATAGTAATAAGGATACCTCAGCAGAAGAACACTGAGCTTTTCAGCAGTAATTTCTTTGTCTCAGAGATACTTGTTTTATTATTTCAGCTATTACTGCATTGAAGTATGAATATTTTTTTTCTCGCGCAGGCTTCACTAGGAGAAAAAGAAAAAAGTAAAGGATTGTTTTATAAAGCCCTTCAAAACTGTCCTTGGGCAAAGGTAAGCATAGAAAAAATACAAACCTGTCATCATACTTTAATTTTTGAAGTTCTGTATTTGAAAAAAAAGTTAGACTTTAGTAGTTGCTGTAATGAGTTATACGCAAGTGAAAGGAAAGATGTCTGAAGGAGAAGATTTTCTGGAAATAAGAGGTGCATCTGAAATGGAAACAGACACGGTGGTCAGTGCTGTTGGCGTTTCAGGACAGAAAGGTGTTGCATTGCGTGGGGCAAGGAGAGAATAAATTCCTCTCTGTGTGACCTAGCAGTGATCACGTCTTTCAGACCCTGTTTTATCATGAGCATGGTAGTAGCAGAAATATATAGGCAAATAAAAATGTATTTAGTTAATAGTATAAGAAATTATTCAGGAGCACCTGCAGATCTTCACGTGGTGTCTGTATATGCTGCAAATGCTCCAGCGCCTCTTGACCTATGTTGTATCTTTTTGAATAAAATTATTTAGTAAGAGCTGGAAAAGACTTGATTAAACATCTACATTGTTGTCACAGTAGAAGTACTAATTCTGTTTGTGTTATTTAAAGAAGTATATGATATTTCTTATGTTCTTGCTACAGAGTTGTTTGCCTATCTACGTACTTCTTTATACTGTGGTTCTTGCGATGATAGAAAGATGGCGCAGAAAACGTTCTCCTTGTCTTTCTAGGTGCTCTATATGGATGCAGCAGAGTACTTCCCTGATCATCTGCAAGAGACGCTTGATCTAATGACTGAGAAAGAACTGAGAGTGCGGGTGCCTATGGAAGAGCTGGATCTACTCTTAGAGGTTTAAAAGAAGACTGTAGATGAGTGGAGAAAGTACAGAAGCTAGTTCCAAAACGAACAGTTAGACCTGTCTCTTTTCAAAGAGGAACTCTGTTGGGACTTGGGTACTATGTACTTTTATTTTTTAAGCTGGGGTGTGGGTTTTTTTGGGGGTTTTTTTGTTTGTTTTTTTTTTAAAGCTTATATATAAATGGCTATCAAAATGGAGTTCTAGCTGGAAGTATTCTGGAATCAAGTACTGCATTTTGCCCACAAAAATGCATCCATTTCCCTGAAGTATTGCTGGCTCCCACCGAAGGCTGCCCTCTTATAAATAGCCTCCTGTTGAACGTTGCCCACATTTCTTCTTCTATTGTTTGAAATTACATTCCCTAGAGTTCAGTAGAGATTCAGTACATGCCAACTATGGTTTGGTGAGCAGCACAGGAAATAAACATCTGCCAAATGGACGCTCCACTGTCCTCCAGTTGGCAGACTTCAGTAATTTCCTTCAGCTTGGTATGCCTGCGTGTGTGTATAGAACTACCAAGTCAAACAGCCGTTACGTCTGTACATACACTGCTAGTAACAGCGAAATCTTTGGTTGAGCAGGCACCTATTTTGGACTTGTACTTGTATGTTTTGACAGATGACCATTTTAATACAAATATTTATGAAAAATATACCTGAATATTTGAAAATTCAAAAGGAACTTGAATGATTTTTTATTTCTTAATTTAATAGAACTGAATGTATTAAAAAGGAAAGTGTATCCATAATGCATCTCTAAGCAGCTCACTGTTAAACAAGTTTTTGTAATTGATTACTCGCTTTTGAGCCAAATACAGGCAATCATCACGAGAGAAGTAGAGGTCTGGTCTGTATTTAATCCTCACCAAAGAAGGCAGAGTAGTCAAAACGTGATTGTTTAATCAGAAGTTCTATTCCAAGAGTCTTTAGGCAAGCTCCTAGAGAAGTAATATGAAATATGGTAACAATTTAAAGATACAGTTATGTTATATATTTATTTTTTGAGACAAAATATGCTGAAATAGGTAAAAGGCTGTTTAGCATCCCTACTCATGAGACCCGAGTACTCAGAACCTGGATCTTCATCTGAACAGAGGGCACCTGCAGGCACTGGATACCCAAAACTGTTTCAGAGGTTTTTCAGGAGAAAACTGTTGCTGACAGCACTAAAACAGTCGGGGTCAGCCAGCTGGGGAGATCCGATCACGCTGAAAACTACGGCTGGGCAAAGCCGTACAAGCTGTGGTGCAGTTTTGCCTGTAGCGCCACGTACAAGATAGAATACATTTTAGTTTAGGCTGTGCTTCATTTATTCCTTTCTAAAAGTATTTTAAATATTACAGGGAATATACAGGATTTCAAATGGCATTACAGCGCTTCTTAAGAGCCTTATAATACTGCTGTGGTGGCAAGTGATGCTGGTTTTGCTGTAACTGATTAGTCTTTGTAAAAAATACTTTTTTTTTTTTTTTTTTAAAAAAATCCATGCTTTTTTCAGAAATGGAAGAGCTCCTGAATTGGAGGTAGGAGTTACTCTGTGCACTGAGCAGCAACATCACAAATGGGGGTGGGGTGGGGGGGGGGGGTGTGCGCGTGTTGCGCGCCTGTGTGTGTGTGTGCGCCTGTGTGTGTGTGTGCGCCTGTGTGCCTGTGTGTGTGCCTGTGTGTGTGTGCCTGTGTGTGTGTGCCTGTGTGTGTGTGCGTCTGTGTGTGTGTGTGTGTCTGTGTGTGTGTGTGTGTGTCGTGTGTGTGTCTGTGTGTTTTTGCTTTGCCATCGAAGCAGAATGCCCTTTCCTCTGAAGGCCTGGAAGGGCCGTGGAGAGGGGGAGGGCAGATTGTGCTCCTGCTTGTGTTTCTCGTCAGAGTCACAGAATCACAGAGCAGCCCGGGTTGGGAGGGACCTGGAAGGATCACCGGGGCCAGCCTCTTGCGGGTCAGGGAGCCTAGGTGAGATCACCGAGAGGATCCAGCACCCTCTCCAGTCGCGTCTTGGAAAGCCCCAGTGATGGCAGTGATGGCTCTGGTTTCGGTCACTTCTCTCTGCCGTGCGTCCCCTCCCTGGGCCCTTTGCACAGTGTCTCCCGTTGCTTCCTTCGCTTGGGGCGGGCAGAGGCTGCTCGCTTACTGGAGCTCCTGGGTGAGTCCTGCCTGCGCATTCGGACGCCAGCAGCTCTTTCTGTCCTTAACGGGGATGTACTTGCGGTTCGCTTTCTCCTGATCTTTAGTACTTTTGTCTTGATCTTTGTAACTCGAGTTCAGAAACGTTGGAGAAAGTGGCAGGAGTTAAATTCTGCTGCAAAAGGTAAGAATTTAATTTTCAAATGTTTCTTTTTCAGCTAGCGTTGTGGCAGACAGCGTACCAGGGTTCTTGGTTTAGCTCAACACGTTGCAGCTTTCCTTCAGCCAGCTGAACCAACCACCTCACTGCCCTGTCCCCAATGAAAAAAAGCCTTGCTCGCTAGACATGTGATGCTGAGATCAACCGCCATGATTAGAAAGTGCTAAAACATCACTGGCTTTTTGTGACCTTTGCAAGGAGACAGCTCTCATAAGGTTTATAAGAATGGGTAATAAAACTTTGCTTGTTGTTTTTCTGTCTCCAGATGGAAAACAACTCTATTTCAGGGTTCCCGTCATCCAGATTAAATAAAAGACTCCATTCATATGTAGCATTTGTTTTTAACAATGAACCACATAACTTTTACACAGAAAACCAAAATCTCTTGGCCTTGCTGCTACCATTGTTGTTAGAGCACTGGCAGTTACAAAGGGAGCGCTCTGCAACGCTCGAATTTCTGCTCCCCCAGAAAGTTTCCAGAACAAAGACTGCACATTGCTTAACTGTGCAACTTTATGTAAACCTTAAACATGACATGTACAACATCTGGGAATTAGTTACTTCCAGCTTAAGCACTTCACAAATGTACACTACACAGAGTACTTAATAAGCAGTGTGTGCATTGCTACAACTTAGCAGAAAGGAAATCTCACTCCTATGGGGCTGGAGCTGCAGGCCACAGACTCGTTTGGGGGGAAGACTTCATTTGAAGACCACAAACCATGTGCATTTCTCTCTGCACGCCTGCAGCACAACAAACCGTGCACCTCTGGCACCGGGGCTGGCCGGCGCCTGGACAGCACCGAGGGTCTGCCTTGGGCGCGCAGGGCTGCGCCAGAGCCCCTCCTGCTGTGCTGGCTCCTTTTAAAGACGTTCTCTAAGCGAGAGTAAAGCACCTCTCTTTATATAATGAACTGTAACCCCCTTGGGAAAAACAAATTTATGAACGCTTTAACGTTACAAGTACCCAACGCAGACAGGTTTAGATCTTTGAACTAAGAATACTAAGGGGTGTCCGCCTGCTAGGCAGAGAGGGGTACCTTTAAAGTCTATCAGAATGTTACTGAAGGTTGCACGTTTTTCATTAATTTTTAGGACACCGAGGTTACTCAGAAGTGACTTTTGCCCTAGTTACTTAGCCCCTAAAGAGAGCGACAGAGAAGTAATTACTCAAAGAACAGCAGCAATTACACAGCAGCTGAAGACGCCTGCCAGGTGGGGAACCTGCTTACCCGCTCCTCCCTGCGCACTGTGTAAAGTCTGACTAAAGCAGCAGACAGTTCCACGTAAATAGCCCGTCTTTACCACCACCACAGTTCAATTCAGATAAATGTTTTATTGGGAAATAAGTGTTACACTGACTGAAAAACCACAACCCACCAGGATTTAACCTCTTCAAGAGTTAAAATTAGCTGAACTGTAGTTTTACACAAGACCATCATCAACACAGAAGGAGTTCCTGCTGGTCCCCAAAGAGAGAGGTGCCTTAGAGATACAGTCCCTCGGGGGTTCCCTCCTGCTTCTTATAGAGAACGTTCTCTTTAGACTTTTTGAAGTCTTCATTTGTTACTTTCATTCGCCGTTCCCTCAAAGCCATCAGTCCAGCCTCTGTACAAATTGCCTGCAACAGAGAAAGCAAGAATAAGTTATTGTCTCCGTGCAGCCCCTCCAAGCCCCACCTCAGCAGACAGCAGCATCTTCTGACTCTGTAGTAGAAGTGAAGAGTGTTAAGAATGTAAGTTTGGTCAAGTTCGAGGCTGTTCAGTAGCACTGCAGCATGTAAAACAAGCTGGATAAAGCCAGATGAGCATGTCCTTCTGTATCAGAGTAACACGCCCATGACCGAAAGTCAGGTTCCTAACAGGAGTACTTCCCTTCTGCGCACAGAGATGCATCCAGCTCCGTTAGCAGCGGACCGTGTCACCCTGCAGTGAGGTGGTAAAGCACTGCCGCGGCTGGTTAAGCTGACCGGTGGGGGAACGCTAGCAAGGGCTCGCTCTGCTTCACAAAAGCAGACTATCTGTGCTCGAAGCTTCCTAATCTACAGTTGCATTTTTACCTGCTTGCAACGTAGTCTCTAAAAATGCTTCTTACCCTGCACTATCTTAAGTAATGTTTAAGCTATCTTGCGTGTTTGTGCAGGATTCCACATTCCCCTTCTAGTTTCCACTTTGCTACTTCACAAATTTCATATTCAGATAACGCAGGTACATACTTTTACCAACATGAGCTACCTCAATTACAATTTTGATAAATTTCCCATTCGTAAAGTCATAAAAGGTATTTTAGAGCCATCCAACCGTCCCTGAGTGATGTAACCAGAAGTAGTTCGACAACAGTTTCAACAGACAATGTTTTTGGATGCAGTAAAAAAAAAAAAAAAAGAGATTTGATTTGTGTTTTGAAGTATAACCACGGTGACATACACTGACCTTAATATCTGCACCACTGAGATCATCTTTTGCCATAATCAGCTCATCCAAAGTCACATCATCTGCCAACGTCATCCTACTTGTGTGAATCTGAAAGATTCGCTTCTTGGTCTTTTCATCGGGTAGAGGGAACTCGATTTTCCTATCAATACGCCCTGTGCAAAAGAAAAGTTCAGTCTTAGGTTTTTTACGTGCAGCTATAGGAAACAGAGCAGGAAGGACATTTCAGGGTTAGGCTGACGGCGACTGCTTCTTCACCCGCAGCCAGCCCTGTCAGAGTAGGCAGGGAGGTCAGACTAGTTGCAACGAACAGGCAGCTGCTGGAGCTGGAAGATACCGCGCTGCTGAAAAAGCCTGTGTCATTGCCGGTGAGAGACACCGCACCTGGGAAACAGGAAAAGCCTTCCTCGAGTCACATATAAATATCAAAAAACCCGACATGTCATAGAACAGAAAAGTATTAATCAAATACTTCTGTTCTTGTAATAAATTTTATTCTACTTTGAGATTACATTTAGCTCTGAAGTTTAATTTTCTGCTGCATACACATACACGCACAAAATAAATCACTGTGGCAACTCGAAGAACTCTTCCTCCCTATATAACCAACCTCGCCCAAAAAACCCCAAAACAAAACCACAAAACCCGAACTGAAGAAAGAAGGTTTTGCATAAATAGTTCTGTCGCAAGTCCCTACCAGATGTTTCCTCTATGCCAGCAGGGACTTTGGATGTTCTGGTACTCATTGTTCCAACTTTAATGAGCAATCTTTTTAAAGATATTTTCCATCCCTGGATCACTCCTGTTTTTCTTTAGTTTTACAGTATCTTTCCTAAAAAGGGTTGATGGCACCACATGCGATATTCCAGACTACCACACACCATGGTAAAATCAGTCCACCGAGCTGCTAGAAGTGCCCTGCTTGCTCAAGCAACGGCTATAATTTAAATACCCCATAGGTGTAGGAAGTTTCCTTCCAACAAGTTTTAGATCACCTGAGCTTGTCTTTTAACGCTGCTATAGTATGACCCCCTCTGTACTCTAACAGCGCTGTTTCTGACTTGGAGGGGGTAAGGCTAAGATGAGGGCAAAACCAGGCTTTTTTGAAAAAACACAAACACACCTCAGCAACTTCGTACTGTGGAGGGTTTTTTTCTAAACTCCTGGAGTCCATGCAGTCTAGTGACCGTTCAGAGTAGTTCTTGGACAAATCTTAAACGATCTTTGCTCCCCCTCTTACCTCTGCTACTTGTCGGTAAGGAAGCAGACTGGTTCCCTTGCATCAAAATCCAGGCTCTCCCTGCTAAGGCTGAGGTTCTGATCTATGAGGCACAAGTGGTGCTGCCCTGCCTTCCCCAGCTGCTCAAGACGTTAACGAAGTGCTGCTGCTGCACTGCAGCTTGCCTTAACAATTACTTAAAATAGCTTGCCATCTTAATACAAAGGAAGAATATTCAAGTTTTTTATGTATATCTAAGAGGAATTAACACATCTCTTCTCTTCCATAGGTTTTTCTCCCATTTGGAAGCTTGTGAATGGGTTCTGATTTTAACAGACAGATACACCAACACAGATGAGATGGTGAATAAAGACAAGGCAGTAACTTGCAGTCTTTTTACCAGCCCGTGTTTGACAAGCTACAACAAGGCCTTTCACAAGAAAAGTGACTTAAGCATGCACAGCGGGAAGTCTCTTACCTGGCCGAATTAAAGCTGGGTCCAGTGTTTCTATTCTGTTTGTAGCCATGATGACTTTAACATCTCCCCGAGAGTCAAACCCATCCAGCTGGTTCA